ATGCTGCTTACGATATGATCAGCTGCATGCATGCAGGCATGCACACACCGCATGGTTCGGTTCTCAATCGCCGCAACTCCAAAAAATCCAAGACAAACTTACAAAATCTAAACGATCATCCATCAACCCATGCATGTAGCATAACGATGCATCTTATAACAAGAAATAACAATGCTTATTTAAGCTGTGTTAACAAGCAAGCATATTTAAGCAATGATTGCTTAATTAAGCAATGCATTGCTTAATTAAGCAAGTAAAATTGCTTATTTAAACAATTTTAACAAGAAACATTGTTTAATTAAGGTTTTACCGTCTAATTAAACACGTTTTATGTTGATTTTTAATTTGATTAAGCATTGTTTCCTTAATTAAACACTTTTGGAAGCTCTGGGTGGTGGCCCAACAGCCCACGGAGGTGCCCATTTACGTCGCCTCCCGTGTGATCCTCACTAAGAACCTCAACAAGTCCATCGGCTTCGTCAACGGGATGGGCGCCACTGTGCTGGGCATGGACTGCGGCAATGTCATCGTGCGAACCGATCAAGGCATCTGCCTGGCTGTGCATCCCTGGACGTCGGAAGACCGTGTCTCGCATTTCCCTCTCCGACTTGGGTACGCCAGAACGTTGCACAAAGTTCAAGGCGCCACCCTCCCGCACGTCACGGTGTGGCTGGACGTCCCCAACATGCCAGCGGCTGCGTATGTCGCCCTGAGCCGGGTTGAATATGATGCCAATTGGCGGTTCATGGGAGATCCTGGCGTTCGCCATTTCACGCCTGCCCGGTTCCGCTGAAGGCACCTTCATTTTTCAAAGGCGTTCGAGTGTGCTGCCACCGTAGCGGCAGTTCAGGCACGTGGGTCTCGATAATTCTACTCCATGCAGTGAGGCATGATGCAGCTAGTTGTGATGTTTTGCAGACTATAGGTTACCGTCGAGGTCCTGTAGCGAGGGGTGGAGTTCGAGTGGGCGAGCACAGTGCCCGAGCGGCGGAGAGCCAAGTCAAGGCACGGCCCCCCGTGCGCTGCCTTCGCCTTCGCCGGAAGACTTGAAGAGTTGACCGATGTTCCCGCGCGGAAAAAAATGCACTGAGAGCAGGTGGTATGGCAAGAGTTGCTTTCGGCCCTTCGTGTGCATGCACTAGTTCTCTCCTTCTCTTTGTTCAGCATCGTGGCCTGTTGTCCACCCCTTCCTGGCTCGCAGATTCTGCTTGTTCCTGCCTCCCTGCCGAGCCGTCCATCTTCATCTCCCACATGGCTGTCGCTGACCGTGACCTTCCTACCCGTGCTCTAGTTGTGGAGCCTGTGTGGATCGAGGAGATCCTGGCAGGTCGCAAGACTTGGGAACTGCGAGGCCAGAACTGTCACCTGCGTGGAGCCGTGGCCCTTGCCGCAAGAGGCAAGCTCTTGGGTGAGGTTACTTTCGAGCAGGCCATGATGGTCGGCGAACGTGATGCAGGCGGGACCCTGCTGGCCCCGCAGGGCCGGGAGCGCGATTTCCTGGCGCTGCCTGAGAACGTCGCCCAGCACCGGGTGGAGAACTTTACTGCTCTGCCCTACAGCCGTGTGTGGGCCT